TAATCCCTTAGAGCAAGAGCCTAGGTGCAGATAATGGATATCAATTCCTTGAGTATCCAATACATACACCTGCATTACGGGTTAGGGTTTAAGACTACTAATGGACCAAGCTCCATTCCTAGATACATTTCCCACTAGGTATTTGTTTCAGAGCTAGTTCAAAAGGCTATTTTTCAATACCCAATGGACTCTATATCAAGCAAAGGAGAATCAATCCAAACCAAGCATTAAGAATAGAAACATACACAACAATGAATGAAACAACATATATATATCATTAATAAAGTGAAGATTACAAAAGAGTTTCGTTGGTTACATCTAACCCCACAAAATAATGGGTAGAACCGCTCAAAACAATGAGGGTAAAACAAAAATAGAGATGGAAGAGAGATGGAAGAACCAAAGGAAAGACTCACACACGAACGGTCCCAAGCACCGGAAATCCCTTCCACAGCTCCTAGAAATCGCCCAATGTGTGAATGAGGGAATGAGCCTCGAAGATTTGATCAAATACGAGCTGGGGGAGACAGGATAGGATTTACACGCCCGGAACGTTATACTTCGCGCCAAGCGCAGGATCTTCCAGAGAGGTAATTACTCTCTGTCTCGAATCACGCCCGGCGAGGATGCGTTTACGCCCGACGCAATGTCTTCTAGAGAGTTTTGAGTGCTCTAATTAAAAATAAGAAATTTTCGACGGATTTATATTTTCGTCAGAATTTTCAACGGAAATATAAATCCGTCATAAATTTCTGACAGAAAATTCTGTTAGAAATTTTTGACAGAAATATAAATCCGTCAGAAATTTCTAACGGAAATATTCGTCAAAAATTTTTGACGGAAATATCCGTCAAAAAATTCCGTCAAAAATTTTCGACGGATTCATATCCATCGAAAATTTACATTTTTATTGTAGTGAACAACACAAAAGAAAAGAAAGTGAGAAACATCTTACTCTTGCTAACGATGCACGAATGCAAACTGACTAGCTAGCCAAACACAAACAATACATATAATAAAATATAACATACATAGTTACACATCATCATATTTAACTCATTCATAGCATAATAGGCAACAACAAGTAAGATTATAATACATATGCAATGGACATGAACTACATGTTATCATGCTTGTGACACTAGTAAAAACATCACACATCATATTTATGCATTGTCGTTAGCAACACACTAGAGTAGTCTAGGAGTGCATGTCGAGTCACACCCTTTATGCACTCTCACTAGAAAGACATACTACTAGGATCTGATTAGAATAGTTAAACTGCACAAGATACATCCCATTCTAACGAAGATGGAATTGGGACTTTTGAACTAAGCTATCACCAAGGTTGGCTCCCAAGCTTTTACATAAGGAACCTTCCCTGACACTATATTCCATATCGTACCCTTAAAAAAATACCTTTATGTACATGATGCATGTCAAACAAACTCTATACATAACATTTCACATGATCTCATTAATTCATTGTCAACTAATCTCGTATCATAAAATCATCTACCATTCTCAATATAACAATTAACAATTCAATTATCTCAATTAAATATTAGCAATCAATGGCATAAGGGATCATATAATCACAACTCATACATAGCTCACAATCATATCAATAACACACTCACATACTACATTTTCATAACTTAATCTTCTACAATATTGTAGGTCCAAACACCTTAACTAGAGCTATATATATGTTATTAAGTTGATCTTAATTTTATTAGAAAGTTAAGATAATTATTTTCAACTTCTATGTTGACTTCAGGAGCCAATTATGTCATCTACTATTTTAAATAAATGCAAAACAGGCAACGTTTTAGCTTAAATATGATAGTCTAACAGTTTGACTAGGGATGGCAAAATTCATTGTACCCACGGATATCCATGAAATGAGTAGCCTAAATGGATACCTACAGGTAATGGACAAGAATATTCTTTTACTTGTTTATAAACGAGATGGGAGCAAGTATAGTAGTATCCATACCCATGAGTACATGCTAAATAATATTACTTAAATATTTATATTTTTATCTTATATCTTTTATCTTATTTTTAATATTTCAAAACAATTATTATTAATTACAAGTTCAAAAATTAATATCAACTATTTATCTTTAATATTTCAATATACTTAACATCAAATATAAGTTCAAAATTATTTATAATATTTTTTTAATTTTTAAAAAAATTTGCAAGTATCCATAGATATACTCACAAATATTTATAAAATTCACGGATACTTTTTTACAAATACACACACAAATATGAAACGGGTTATGAGGCGAATTTTTAACTGACGGCACAAGTATGGATACTTTATTACCTACCCTCACAGGCCCATTATCATCCTAAATTTGATTTTTATTCACTAATTTGATCGTTATATATTCCTTTTTAAATGATTTTAACGATATTTGAAAGCTAATATTTAAGAATACAACTTTTATCCATATCACAAAAGCCGATTGGGGCATCTACTCGCAAATAGTAAAACAAGGCTTAGACAATGGTGGCCATTTGGTGGCCATGACCACGATACAATGGTGGTCCATTAAAAACCAGGCTTAAACAAGTTGGGCCTTAATGCGGCCCATAAAAGAAACTAAGACAGTAACTTTGCTTCTCATACTTTTCAGCATTCACTTCTAAGGCGACACTGTTTATTCGTGCACGCAACTTTTCACTCTCAATTATTTCTTACAATTCCACCGAACCCAAAATTAGAGACAGAATTGTTGCTCTAAAGTTTCATTAAAGTGGCTTCAATTCTCTTCTTCCTTTTTCTTCCCCAATGCCCCTTTTCAATGCAATCCAATTCTATGCTTCAGTTTAATCCGAGATCCGCTTCCTTCATATCTCGCTACATTTTAATGGCTTCGTTCTCAATGCGAACAATTTAGTTCCCAAAACGGTGTCGTACAGATCCTGGGTTTTGCTACATTTCTTCGCACCCCCAACAATTCAAAACCAGGGTTTGTAATCTTTTTCATTTTCTTTAGTGGGTTGTTTGATTTACGCGGTTGAATTGTTTAAAAATCGAGTTTTTTTTAGTGGGTTGTTTGATTTGTGGGGTAGAATTGTTTAAAAATTGAGTTTTTTTATTGGGCGGGGAGGGGGGGGGGGGGGT